CAACTTTGTTGTAAAGACACATTTTTAAAAATTTTTTAATTTATTTTTAAACTTAGATATAGTAGTGAAATATTGTTGATGTGAGTGAAATAGCTAATATATGTTATAGATACACATTATAATATTGGCTTTTTTCAAATATTAAAATGGATTTTATATGTGTGGTGTTAAAGTAACCTTGTTGTAAAGACACGGGTTTTAATTGTCATTAATTAAACTTAAGACATAGAAGTGAAATAGCTGATATAACTGAAATAGCTGATATGTGTTATAGATACATATTATAATATTGGCTTGTTGCAAATATTAAAATGGATTCTATATGTGTGGTGTTAAAGTAACTGTTATAAAGATACAGTTTTTATTTCTGTTGCTAATTAGGCTTAGACATAATAGTGAAATAGCTGATATGTGTTACAGATACACATTATAATATTGGCTTTTTGTAAATATTAAAATGGATTCTATATGTGTGGTGTTAAAGTAACCTTGTTGTAAAGATACGGTTTTTATTTCTGTTGCTAATTAAGCTTAGACATAGTAGTGAAATAGCTGATATAACTGAAATAGCTGATATGTGTAAGAAATACACATTACAATATTGGCTTTTTGCAAATATTAAAGTGGATTTTATATGTGTGGTGTTAAAGTAACTGTTATAAAGATACAGTTTTTATTTCTGTTGCGAATAAAGCTTAGACATAGAAGTGAAATAGCTGATATGTGTTATAGATACATATTATAATTTTGGCTTTTTGTAAATATTAAACTGGATTTTATACGGGTGGTGTTAAAGGAACTTTGTTGTAAATACATGGTTTTTATTTCTTTTTTCTTTTTATTTATTTTTAAGCTTAGACATAGTAGTGAAATATACTTCATATAATGAAATAGCTCTGATATGTGTTATAGATATATATTATAATATTGGCTTTTTGCAAATATTAAAATGTATTCTGTATGTGTGATATTAAAGTAACTTTGTTATAAGGATATGCTTTTTATTTCTTTTTTATTAATTTTTAAGATTAGACATAGTAGTGAAATATAGCTGATATAAGTGAAATAGCTGATATGTGTTATAGATACATATTTTAATATTGGCTTGTTGCAAATATTAAAATGGATTTTTTATGTGTGGTGTTAAAGTAACTTTGTCATAAAGATGTAGTTTTTATTTCTGTTGCTAATTAAGCTTAGACACAGTAGTGAAACATACCTAATATAACTGAAATAGCACTGATATAAGTATGTGTTATATATTATAATATTGGCTTTTTGTAAATATTAAAATGGATTCTGTATGTGTGATATTAAAGCAACTTTGTTATAAAGATATGCTTTTTATTTCTTTTTTATTTATTTTTAAGATTAGACATAGTAGTGAAATATAGCTGATATAGGTGAAATACCTGATATGGGTTATAGATACATATTTTAATATTGGCTTGTTGCAAATATAAAAATGGATTTTATATGTGTGATTTTAAAGTAACTTCTTTATAAAGTTATAGTTAATATAGTTTTTATTTCTGTTGCTAATTAAGCTTAGACATAGTAGCGAAATATAGCTGATATAAGTGAAATAGCTGATATAAGTATGTGTTATATATTATAATATTGGCTTTTTGTAAATATTAAAATGGATTTTATATGTGTGATATTAAAGTAACTTTGTCATAAAGATACGCTTTTTATTTCTTTTTTATTTATTTTTAAGATTAGACATAGTAGTGAAATATAGCTGATATAAGTGAAATAGCTGATATGTGTTATAGATAGTTTTTTTGTACTATTACATTTGTATTTTTATTTTTCCTGCTCCCATATCTTTCCCTGAGAGACCGCCTGAATTTCAAAATTACAATAATTCACAGGGAGAGGATTTGCATTTCCATTTCATGGGAGACTCCTGCCTTCCTTAGCAAACCAAGACAAACATACCCCAAGGTTGCAAGTTACTCATTCCAAGGATGGATTTACGCAGAGTTTAACCCTTTGTGTGCCTCACCGGATTTGATGTTGCCGTCGTCGCGGCACATCCCGTTCCAGCGCGTGTACAGCGACGAGCTGTGCATGCTGTCACTGTGCTTCACCTCCTCCTGCTTCTGCCTGATCTTCTCCCAGTTCCGCACCAGGAACACGTGGTGCTTCAGCACAAAATTCCTGCAGGGATTAGGCAGCTATTCCAGAAGCTCTTTTCACTGGAAAAGTCATTTTTTNTTATTTTTAAACTTAGATATAGTAGTGAAATATTGTTGATGTGAGTGAAATAGCTGATATGTGTTATAGATACATATTATAATATTGGCTTTTTGAAAATATTAAACTGGATTTTATATGGGTGGTGTTAAATTAACCTTGTTGTAAAGATACGGTTTTTAATTCTGTCGTTAATTAAATTTAGACATAGAAGTTGAAATAGCTGATATAACTGAAATAGCTGATATGTGTAAGAAATACACATTACAATATTGGCTTTTTGCAAATATTAAAATGGATTCTATATGTGTGGTGTTAAAGTAACCTTGTTGTAAAGATACGGTTTTTAATTCTGTCGTTAATTAAACTTAGACATAGAAGTGAAATAGCTGATATAACTGAAATAGCTGATATGTGTTATAGATATATATTATAATATTGGCTTGTTGCAAATATTAAAATGGATTCTATACGTGTGGTGTTAAAGTAACCTTGTTGTAAAGATACGGGTTTTAATTGTCATTAATTAAACTTAGACATAGAAGTGAAATAGCTGATATAACTGAAATAGCTGATATGTGTTATAGATACACATTATAATATTGGCTTTTTGTAAATATTAAACTGGATTCTGTACGTGTGGTGTTAAAGTAACCTTGTTGTAAAGATACGGTTTTTATTTCTGTTGCTAATTAAACTTAGACATAGTAGTGAAATAGCCAATATGTGTTATAGATACACATTATAATACTGGCTTTTTGTAGTAAATATTAAACTGGATTCTGTATGTGTGGTGTTAAAGTAACCTTGTTATAAAGATACGGTTTTTAATTCTGTCGTTAATTAAACTTAGACATAGAAGTGAAATAGCTGATATAACTGAAATAGCTGATATGTGTTACAGATACATATTATAATATTGGCTTTTTGTAAATATTAAACTGGATTCTGTATGTGTGGTGTTATAATATTGGCTTTTTGCAAATATTAAAATGGGTTTTATATGTGTGGTGTTAAAGTAACCTTGTTGTAAAGATACGGGTTTTAATTGTCATTAATTAAACTTAGACATAGAAGTGAAATAGCTGATATGTGTTACAGATACATATTATAATATTGGCTTTTTGTAGTAAATATTAAACTGGATTCTGTACGTGTGGTGTTAAAGTAACCTTGTTGTAAAGATACGGTTTTTAATTCTGTCGTTAATTAAACTTAGACATAGAAGTTGAAATAGCTGATATAACTGAAATAGCTGATATGTGTTATAGATACATATTATAATATTGGCTTTTTGTAAATATTAAACTGGATTCTATATGTGTGGTGTTAAAGTAACTTTGTTGTAAAGACACATTTTTAAAAATTTTTTAATTTATTTTTAAACTTAGATATAGTAGTGAAATATTGTTGATGTGAGTGAAATAGCTG